CCCCCCCCCCCTTCCCGGTAAGCATTCTAAGTTAAATACCTGATATGTGAATTAAATAATATTAAAAATAAATCGTTTTGAGGAATTTTTTGTACATCTTTTATTACGCATACATTTGTAAAAATTCATGTTTTTTAAAACATGATGCAGTAAAATTTTATGATTTAAAAAAATTTTCACAAAAAAAAGTTGAAAAAGAAGTAAATATTCCTGTAGGTTAGGAGGTAGGATAAACAGTAACCATCTCTGAATAGTTTAAAGTGATTTCGAAGTTTTTTTTGTAAAGATGACTAAAAGCTTAAAAAAACAATTTTTGTAAAAATTGCTCAAAAGTTTGACCCATAGATTAATAAAAATACAGTAAGAACAATAAAGATGTCGTCTTTTAAAGATTCAGAGGTTTTTCGTTCACAATAACCCTGAGGCAGAAGCCCAAAGGAGTTACGTGCATGCTCTATCTCTCTCCGTCTTGTGATTCAACGCGGCATACGCGTAACTCCATTGGGATTCTGCCTCAGGGTTATTGTGATCAAAAAACCCTAAATCTTGAAAAGACAATATCTAATGTTCTGTCTGCATTGTTATTAATCTAGGGTTTGTCCAATAAACATTTTAAAGCACGTCTATAAGAAATGAATTTTAAAAAATATTTGCAATATTTGATGTCGACTTTATTCCCTGCTGGAGTAGGAGAAGGTGTTTAATAAAGTTTCAAGGTCTAGGTCAGGATCGCAGAGACCTCCGCAGTTCTCATCTAGAATCTAAATACAGAGGTCAAAAAGTACATTTGTCATCTAAAATCTAATTACAGCGGTCAACAAGACATTTGTCATCTAAAATCTAATTACAGCTGTTAACAAGACATTTATCATCTAGAATCCAATTACAGCTGTCAACAGGACATTCGGCATCTAGAATCTAATTACAGCTGTTAACAAGACATTTATCATCTAGAATCTAATTACAGCTGTCAACAACATATTTGTCATCTAGAATCTAATTACAGCTGTCAACAAGACATTTGTCATCTAGAATCTATCTACAGCTGTCAACAGGACATTTGGCATCTAGAATCTAATTACAGCTGTTAACAAGACATTTGTCATCTAGAATCTAATTACAGCTGTCAACAAGACATTTGTCAGCTAGAATCTAATTACAGCTGTCAACAAGACATTTGTCATCTAGAATCTAATTAAACAAGACATTTGTCATCTAGAATCTAATTACAGCTGTCAACAGGACATTTGTCATCTAGAGTCTAATTACAGCTGTTAACATGACATTTGTCATCTTGAATCTAATTACAGCTGTCAAAAAGACATTTGTCATCTATATTGATCTACGAAGGTTAAACACTATCTAAATACAGGCGAAATATATCCTACAATGATCCCCATAAAACTGTAGACTACGAAGACGACCAGAAAGCTATATTTAAGTGTGTTTGATGCTGTCAAATGACAAATTTCTTAAATATGAACTTTTGAAATAAAATTTGTAAACGCATGCATATTGCATACTATACAATACCTGAGTCTCATATGTTCAAAAACTGGACTATTAAAACATAATGTAGTGGGAACCATTAAAGCCTAAATATACAGTGAGAACCAGAAAAATTTGGAATATGAAGAAGACTTATAGAATTAAAGTTTAATTTCCATTGGGAAACGTGAGACACAGCAATTGTGCATCATTTGCATAGTGTACTTGTACTCAGATCAATTTCACTTAATAAGGTATATTTAAGCTGCCAGTTGACTGTTTGCTGTGTAACGACATCAAATACACTTCTGCAGCTTTCTGGTTCTCTCTGTATCGTTGCTCAAATATAAAAAAATACCTGAATATTCTGCAGAATAAGCTTATACTTGATCCTTCCAAGGAACTGGTTTGATAGAACATTGTTTGCCCGAGCCACAACCCTTCCGGTCAAACTTACCAGGTTGTACCTGGATCAATCAATATATAGATAGATAGATAGATAGATAGATATAAAAATCGATTTTACAATGCATACATTTTAGATGTTATAATATATATTATATATGAATAATTCATATCCAGGGCTACAACCTAACAATTACAAATTGTTTGCATTGGCTTTTCCTTCTGAGTTTAAATACATTTTTTTTGATTAACAAATACTTGATTTAGAAAAAAAGAGGAATGAAAAGGAATTTTAAGGAAAGGTATTGTAGGGTGAATATTAGAGGGGAAATGAAAGATGGTAGGAACCGAGCCCTAAAAAAATCACTTTCACATTTATTTGGACAAATCGATCAAGGATTAAAATTTAAAGGGACTGTCAGCGTAAGATGAACCTCCAATAAAATAACTGCATGCCGATTCGCAAGGGTATCCATCAATATTTGGAGTTTGTTGTTTAACTTTAAATCTAAATCTAATTTTAATGACGTCATCTCTATTCTTATTTAAACAATAAGAAAATTAACGATGAAACTCTAAAAAAAGATGTAAATATAAAAATAAAGATCATAATAAAATTATGGATAATTATTTTTTCTTGATTTACCTTGCAATTCTTTTCTTCTCTTCAACCTCTAATTCTCCTTCAAGAGTATCCACGTCACTAAATTTTTTTATTAATAGATATTAAGATTTATTTAAAGAAAGTTCAAAATTTTACCTTAAAAATTTCCTCCATAAAAATTTATCTATTACAATCTAAATATAAGAAATCACTATCAATAGATAAAAGATATTAATCTTTATTTAAATAGCTTTGAAAAGATTTTAAAAATTTAGGTTGAAAATTAGTTAATTTAATACTTAAACAGCTTTAATTAGATTTAATTAGATTTAAACTGATATAAACAGATTTAAACAGATTTGAATTAATAATTAACAAATTTGACAAGATTTTCACAGATTTAAATTTGTTAACTTTAATAATTTATTTTAATTAAATTTTACAATATTTTTCAATATTTATATGATATCAGATGGAAATATTTAGAGCTTTGTATATTGCTTTCTTTTTTCTGAACTCTGTATTAAATTGTTTACTCATAAGTTGCCTTGCATCTGACTAAGCAAAAACACCAATTCCTGAATTTTCTTGGGGCATGAAGGGGGGAGAGCGATTTAGCCATGAATATGCGGGAACAGTTTTAAAGAGTAAAAGAGCAAAACCTGAATACCGCATACTCGAGTAGGCTGCAGCTGGGAGTAAACTTCATTTAGAAACAACAAAAAACACAAAGCTAGAAAACATATAATTTCATCCATTCCTTCATTTTCATACTCATGAAAAGGAGTAAGAGAAATTTGGCAAAGCCCGATTAACAACGGTACCATTGCTTTGTCTGATCAAGTATGAATAAAATATATTTTTTTTTAAAACTGTTTATTTTAATTTGTGGTTTCTCTGCTTAAGTGCTTGCGCATTTCTTGCTTATAAAGAACTCTGGATAAATTATTAGAATTAAATACTTTTCTGGCGAGAAAACATTTTGATTTGATTAAGGTTTAATTAAGGGTACCACTGTAAATCCCACATCGCCACCTTTGCAAAATAAAAACTAGGGGAAACAAAGTTTTTAACATATAGTAATAAAATGAAGAGGTGAAGCTTAGCTCAAATGTACACAACCTACCTGTCTATTAATTAATTAATAGAGTGGTCGGTTGTATACATCACGATATGTTTACTTATCTAACACTGTACACTTGTTTATAAAGTGATCGTATTTCTAAGGGGGATTTTATAGAATTGACCAATTTTTAGATTTTCTTTCTTTATTTAAATCCATACTAATATTCAAATATCATAAAAACCACCTCTTAGAAATACGATCTCTTTATATACAAGTCTACAGTGTTAGATACGTAAACATATCGTGATGTATACAACCGACCACTCTATTAACCCTATCCCTGCTGGGGTACTTGAAAACCAGGATATGCTGGGGGGGGGGGGTAAATTTGACCCCCCCTCTAAATCCCATGTTTTATGTCCAAATATGACAAATGATACATCATTAGAAAGCTCTTGTGCTCTACTTTTAGAATCAGCAAAAAAATGTGCAAATTTACAAAAATTGAATTTTTTATCGCAAAATCCACTTATATAGTAAAAATATTTGGGAAAAAAAATTGTCCAAAAAATGAAAAATTATACATTTTTGAAAAGCCCCTGACCATGCCATTTCAAATATGCAAAGATTTTTGCAAAATTTTAAATAACTTGATTTTTAATCAAGAAATTTCCTTTGACAGGTTGTTTGCAAAAAAATTGCAATTTTTTTCGCAAAACTTGTGCAATCCGTTTCCTTATGTCAAAGGCTTTCCAAAAAGATAAATTTTATCAAAATCTGACAAGTGAAAGTGGGTCAAAACAAAGATTTACATTCAGGCAGTGTGCCTGAGGACTCAGGCAGTTAGTATTAAAGCCCGGTTTTAGGCCGGAAGGGAGGGCTTTGGGATGTAAGAAAATTCAGAAAATTTCAACAGCCTCAGACCAATACTTTTTGAGTTATGTAAAAAAAACTACAGGGGGGTCAAATTGACCCCCCCCCCCCCAGCAGGAATAGAGTTAATCAATTAATATCCAGGTCGGTTGTGTACATCTGAGCTAAGCTTCACCTCTGCGTTTTATTACTCAAAGGTTTTTAACAATATAAATATAATTTGCCTGAAAAATATATTTTCATGATTCTGCAATTTCCACATTTTATCCGAACATTTTATTTTCTAACGATACTTCTGAAATAATGCAACGTTTTCAAGTCATAGATTAAATCAGAGAGGAACAGATAACATACAGGGGTTTCCACAAAAAATGAGACGGCAGAGACGAATTTTGCATTTATTCTGGAATCTTGGTTCCGTGCAATTGTGAACTAAAATGTTCTAATCCCTATAAATTAGCAACCTTATTACATAAAAGCTATTTGAAACCTCATCTTATAGATCCGACAGAAAACATAGTTTGAAATATCAAAGGTCTACATTTTACAACGTTGGGTTGCAAAGATATAGGGATTATAAAATTAGAGTTTGTGGGCAAAACCTCTGTTCCTTTAACCTTCATGTTATTATATTTAAAGAATTTTAGGTCGTCATTAAATCCCATCCTTTTGTTGTAACCCTTTAGTTAAAATAATACTTCAAAGAAGCTTTTTCAGTTTTCTCCCTACTTATGTATGCACAATGGTCGTTCTTTGGCCGCCAGATGTCTCCTACTAAATTCTTATCTGATAGATAGATAATTCATACAACTACAGTACGACCGTAATTAAGAGACGTCATGTGGTCGAACACTGTAATGTTGAAAAGAATGGCCTCTGTAATGTTATGTAGGTTTTTTTTTTCATTTTTAACAATATTTTTTTCCTTTTCTAAAGTGCTCAGGAGAGCACCTTCTATTGTAACAATACTTTTCAGTTTAATTAACAAAAAAAAATTATTATTTGGTAAATGTCAAAACATTAAATTAAGCAAATTGATTTAACAATTAAAAATTAGATTTCAATAAATTGTAATTAAAGCATTAGATTTCTTTAGTTAAAACAAAAAGGATTAGAGTCTGAGCCACAAACTATGATTTTCTAACCCTTAAATCTTTGCAACCCAATGTCGTAGACCTTAGATATTTAAAACTATGTGTTCTGTTGAGTCAAACAAGGTGAATATATATCAAAGAAGTACACCATCAGATTGCCTAGATATGGGGATTAGACATTTTGAGTTTGAAGCAAAAAGTTTGGTCGTCTGTCTTGAATATTGTTTTTAATTGTAAGGTAAATGATTTGGCAAAAAAAGGAGGTTAAGAATTGTATGGAACACCAAGAATAGTCTCAATTTCTTTCTGTAAAATGCACACATCTTATGAACAAAAAAATCATAAGAATTTCGTAAATAGCTAGAGATTAACTGATACAATTAATACTTAAAAACATTGTTTTGGCAAATCTAATGAAAAAATGTTTTAATTTTTAAACATATCAAACCACACTAATTAAACTATTACTATTGGAGCTTTAAAAAAATTTACATGATTTCTGCGCGTAGAAATGCGTCAGTTATATGTCACAGTACTGAGCAGTGCTCAGAGCACACCTGGTGGAGAGTAACTGGTTCCTTGAGATAAATAAATATGGGTGGGCGGATACTGGATAGAGGTAGAGACATTACGCTGAGGGAAGTAGATTCAAGTTTTAATCTTATGATTAAAATTCGTCCTCAATATTTTCAAATATAAAAGACGACATTCGCGGTTGGCGCACACATTATGTGCTAGTTTTAATTTTTGCTTAAGTATAATTCAACGTTAACATACAGGGTTATCCACAAATCATAAGAATTCATGGTTTCCGATCCTGCAGCTGTATGTCATTGAAAATTAATTTTTTTTTTTCATAAATTTTTTTTAATTGAATTTTGGAGTTCAATAAACATTGTGTTATTCTTTGATTTTACCAAAAATTCATGAAAAAATTCAATTGTGTTTAATCTTCGAAATTGAAAAATACCTTAAGGATATTTAATACTACGCATCTTATACAAAATCTTACATATAAATGTTTTGGTACAGTGAAACCCTTAACAACGAATACATCGGTTCAACGGAAGAATTTATCAAATGTCGTCTTGACAATTTTTCAATGAGTTTTATACTATATTACGTAAATTTCAGTATTTGCGAAAATTAATAAATAGCCATGAATATGCGGGAACAGTTTTAAAGAGTTCCATATAATCATTTAATTAAAAAACTAAATATCTGCAACATTCCATTATCAGAAAGTGAAGAATACGACATTTGATGAATTCTTTCGATTTATTTCTTATTAAGGGTTTCACTGTATAATTTTGACACAGTTTTATATCAACTTCTCGAGACTGAACATCAGATAGAACTTTTATATGTCTCAATGACAGGTTTCATTTTCATTTTCATTTTCCTTTACAGTCCCTTTAAGCTTACCCGCATTTGTCCCTAGATATTAATAGGCCCTTGAAAACTTTTATCAAATCAAAAGACCTAATTTAACTTTTCAATCGTCGTACTCGTAACTAAGAATTTTGGAGTTCATTTTAGGTCCCATCCTTTGTGAATAACCCTGTATTCATCTCTATAAATTCTAATATAAATCTAAATCTTTAAATTTGGATTGATTCGGGTTAAATTTGCTTAAGTTCTGTGCAGTTCGTTTATATATTCAAAAGACGCGCGGTAAAGGCTACAGCAAAACTAATCAATGCATTTATTTAGAAAAAAGTAATTTCTAAGGTTTGCTGCATTTTAAAGTGAGATAAAAATGTAACAAATTTTATTTTTGTTATTTTTGCATTGCCATCTTTGCAGGAAGGGTCACGTACTTAAAGCTATGCTTGCCACAGTGGACTAGGGTCTATTTAAATTCTAACCAGACCGACCCCTTGTACCGGCCTTAGTACAGTGACGCGCGGCCAGACTTTTTACAGTACCCGGCCTATTTGACCTACTCCACTAGCTAAGCTTGCAGGCAATCCCTTTAAACACCAAAACGGCTAAACTGATCAATTTTGCAATGAACTCATGTTGAAAATTTGTTAATAATTCACCAATCAACAATTAGGATAGAACAAGAAATTGGCCTTGTGTTATTCTTTCAAAGTACTAAAAAAAGTGTTCTCAAATGTGAGGCAACAAGGACGCGATAGGCTGTTTATTGCCTAAAACCAAGTAATGTTTATTTAGATATTCTAATATTTTGTAGAAAATTAATTCAAAAACAAGCTGACATATTGTAAATTGTTCTTATTAACTTCAAGTTTATTGACTTTAAGCATTATGCAAACAAACTCAAAGAAGCCGGTCTGAGATAAAAAAAAATATTTACGTTATTTGTTTCATTTGATTAGTTGCAAAACAAGAACAGTGGTAAAAACTTTTGAATTTGAACCTGTGCCTTAAGCGCTCTAACGGTTTCAGCTGGTGGTTTAATTCAGATGCCAACAGCTATACCCTTCTTAGAATCATTTCCCGTGCAGTATAAAAACCAGAAAACTCGGGAAAATTGCCCTTTTTTTAACTAAAGGAATATTCTTAAAATAAAACAAGACATTTATATATATGTTACCAGAAGTCTAAGGCTTAGCGCTGGTTCCAATCAGACCTCAAAGCAGAATATGACTACGTTAATACTTTAGGATATTTTAAGTGGCCAGATTTGGGCGAGAAACAAATATTTATTTTATTAAAATGTGTACTGCCAGTGGAGATAAAGAATTAAGTATATAATATACTTACATTTAATTGTTTATCCCCACTGGATATCTATTTTATTTTTCGTATTTTCTAATGGAATCCATAAGAAAATACTTATTAAACTGAACAATTAAATTTAATTGAGTCACATTTTCGTATTTAGCATAGCAACAGGTTTTGGGTGTTTAGATGGGTTCGATGACACTCCTTAACTCTTATATTTGTATTGTTATAAAAAATAAAAATGACATTTGCCACGATTCATATTTTGAAATAAATCTGCTGTTTTGCAATCTCAGCAGAAAATCTTTTTTTTCCAGCAATTCTCAGATGAGGGTCCATTTATCATAATACAGGGTTTATACCCACAATTCTCAGATGAGGGTCCATTTATCATAATACAGGGTTTATACCCACAAAGGATGAGACTTCAGAGACGACTGAACACAATCTATTCAGTCTTTGTTCTCACATTAAACGTGGCCTGCAGATGTAAACAGCTTTTTTTTATTTATCAAATCATCTAATCCTTAAAATGCTGTATTTAAAGCAGATAACCAAATTGGTAATTTCCTAGAGAACGATTTTTGGAACCCCCTCCCCATCAATCTTATTTTGTACATTCTATAAAATTGATCATGTGGCCACCTAGACCATCCTAGCCGCAGTGCTCGGCCCAGAAATTGTCTTAACCTAACCTAATCCTAAAATAATAAAAAATAAATGTAAAAATGGGGAATGGGGGAGGGGGGTCTAAAAATCGAATACTTGGACGGACCCAACGAAATTAAATCTTCAGGTCCTTATATTAAAAAATGTTCAGTTCTTTATTAAAATGTCAATCTTTTTGGGTAACCCTGTATAATCATGTGGGATTTTTGTAGCATCGTTTGGTTTTTAATTGTGGTTGAACCATTTAATACTGGTTTACTCTACTTAGTAACCACTTTGGTTTATATAGGGTGTCAAGAAACTTGATTATCTTTAAACATCTAAAAATTAGTAGAATTAAGTAAAAACATGTTTTAAAGGGACTTTCGACGTATGTCTTACGTGTGTACCCTGTGTCAGATTCACAACGGTACTCGTTTAAAATAGATAAATTATATTACCTTCCTTCCTAGTCTCTGCTGCATATCCAAAACTTACAACTTTAGAAACAGCACTCGAAAATCGAAAAAAAAAAATTTCAAATACAAATTAAGGTATCTCCATAATGTTTTGTCCGGCAAACATATAAAGAGGAATGTTGTTTATTGGGCGCTATACATCTATTAAAAGAAAGGTTTAAAGATGAATGTTGTTAATCGGGCGCTATACATCTATTAAAAGAAAGATATAAAGAGGAATGTTGTTAATCGGGCGCTATACATCTATTAAAAGAAAGATATAGAGAGGAATGTTGTTAATCGGGCGCTATACATCTATTAAAAGAAAGGTATAAAGATGAATGTTGTTAATCGAGCGCTATACATCTGTTAAAAGAAAGATATAAAGAGGAATGTTGTTAATCGGGCGCTATACATCTATTAAAAGAAAGGTATAAAGAGGAATGTTGTTAATCGGGCGCTATACATCTATCAAAAGAAAGGTACAAAGATGAATGTTGTTTATTGGGCGCTATACATCTATTAAAAGAAAGATATAAAGATGAATGGTGTTAATCGGGCGCTATACATCTATTAAAAGAAAGATATAAAGATGAATGGTGTTAATCGGGCCCTATATATCTATTAAAAGAAAGATATAAAGAGGAATGTTGTTAATCGGGCGCTATATATCTATTAAAAGAAAGATATAAAGAGGAATGTTGTTAATCGGGCGCTATACATCTATTAAAAGAAAGATATAAAGATGAATGTTGTTAATCGGGCGCTATACATCTATTAAAAGAAAGATATAAAGAGGAATGTTGTTAATCGGGCGCTATACATCTATTAACAGAAAGATATAAAGAGGAATGTTGTTAATCGGGCACTATACATCTATTAAAAGAAAGGTATAACAGATGAATCTTGTTAATCGGGCGCTATACATCTATTAAAAGAAAGGTATAAAGATGAATGTTGTTTATTGGGCGCTATACATCTATTAAAAGAAAGGTATAAAGATGAATGTTATTTATTGGGCGCTATACATCTATTAAAAGAAAGGTATAAAGATTAATGTTGTTTATTGGGCGCTATACATCTATTAAAAGAAAGGTCACATGCAGAAAGGCTCTTTTACCCCTATTCACAGTAATCCAGAGATTGCAAGATACCGAGAAAATTTGTATAAGAATTTTGCCAACTTATTCTTAAGATCTCAACCTGAAAACAAGTGCTTTGTAAATCTGAATTGCCATTGTTTAGGGCTACAAAAAATATACGCGAGTTGTTGGGGTAAAAGCGTTGTGACAGTTCAAAGTCGACCAGTCGATGCCTTTATATAGCAGTCTGGATCTTTGTGCATTTTATCTTTAATTCAAGAGGACAATTTAATCCCAGAAAATTCTTAAATAAATTTTCTCTGTGCAGCCTGTACTTATCCTTATACCAGGTGAGGTATATAACCTGTATATTATACTAAAAATTTACTTCCGCTTCAAACCAGACTGCCTGACACAGGCTGTATCAGGCAGTCCCTGTATGACAGGTCTGTGACCCGGACCGGATCTGGAGCGTACCGGTCCGACGTGTAGTGTTGGAAGTTGATTCATATGTTGGCAGTTGTAACGTTGTTGGCATTTAGAGAAAGGACGGAGTAGGCAAATATCAGGGAACCAGGACACAGTGCAGACCAGAACTCAACCAGGACCAGGACAACCGTATAATCAGGACATCATGGCTAGAAATTTCGCAAAGAAGAATAAAGCCCCCGTGGATACGTCGAATTATTCAGCAGTAGGTTAGTTTATAGTTAAATTTTAAGAGCTTAAAAAATTAAATATCTTTTAAAGGAATGGATTACGCGCCTTCACCTGTAAAGGAATTGAGTCTTTACCATAAGCTCAAGTTTTCTAATATCTTGCCAACCTGATGCATGGTGTAAGCCTTTAATATTTCAAGCTTAGATTTTTTTTTATCAAATACAAATATATTAAAATATAGTTTTGCTAGATAGTCGAGGTTTGAAATAATCATGGTCTACACCATCAGGTTTCAAGGATACAGGGATTGCAAAATGAAAGTTTGGTTTGAAGCAAGTAATAAGTTTCTTTATTTATAATAATGGGGGGGGGGGGCACAATTACGTTACTTTAGCCTTCATTCTTATTTAAAGGTCTCCCTCGCCCACAGACCCCCCCCCCCCTCTTTTTTACGGAGAGGGAAAACTATAAACAAATATTAAATATGTTTCGTATATTTTTAAGTATATATACATCATTTTTTTCATCATACACAAAATATTTATTTTCTCCGGCGTTCTTTCAAATAATACAATATTTTAGCTTTATCCTTGTATTCATTGATCTCAGAAATATACAATTTTAAGAAATATACAATTTTAAAAACTTATTATTGAGAATTTTGTAGAAAACAATCTGAATAATATAAATACTAAGTCATAACGTTAAGCATTGTTTGTTTTCATCGATGAATAACAATTCGATTTTTTTACATAGTTTACATTAAATCGATATTTAAAACATACAGTCCTTAGAAAGGTAATTTTGAGTAAAATAGTGTTTAAATGTCTATATAAGGTCTAATCTATGGATTAATAAATAAGAGTTTGTGACACAAATTTATATCCTTCGAGGCATTTAGAGAGAAATAGGACCCCCTCCCCCCATTATTGTACTCTAACTTCACAGAAGTATATATTACTAGGCTTTTAAATTGTCAACATGTTCTCTTTGTGCATTTTAAAACAAAGAAGAAAAAATTTTGCGGATTTTTAAAAAGAAATTCGCGGATTTTCTAGATTTTAAAAAATTTTACAAAAATAAGAAACGTTTAAAAAAAATTTTCATTCATAAACCTTCCCTGTGGTCAAATGAGGTCCCACAACAAATTTGGGCCAGATCGGCTAAGTCGTTTTGACGTTTCTTGGATACAAACAAACAAACAGACTAGCTAAAATTTTATATAGTTATGATAACCTAAGAAGAAAAAAAAGACCTTCTTCCCTCATATGCGCGCTAAATTATGATGATAATGAAATTGTCTCATTTTTGAAGTATAATTCTCAGGAACTGTTCGGCTTGAAAAAAATTAAAACTGTCTCATGTATTCGAGTACTAACTGTCCTTCCTGCAACACCGTATCCTTCCTGAACTCAATTATATTTAAATATTATTGAGTGCACTTTCTTCCTAGCTCAAGGTTATAGTTAAACCCTTTGGTTTACACTGTTGCGGGAGTAGAATAGGAGCGGAACCTAGAACTTTTAAGAACAACAGAGCCTATATTGAATTTTTATTGAATTGGATTTTTAGATCGAGGAATTTCAAATGGTGCAACTCAATTTTAACAAAAACGATACGAAGGAAGTTTTGAAAGAATAAATTGAATAGTAATCTGTTCCCATTGAAATATTTATTTGTTATTTTACGTTAAGCTAAAATCAGAAATAATTGAGTCTTTGCCGTAAACTCTGTTTTGCTTATCCATGTATCTTTGCAACCCAATGTCGTAAACCTCAGATATTTGTGCAAGATTAAGTAATATAAGTTTTATAAATTAAAGGTTTATACAATCAAGTTGCAAAGATATAAATACTAGACAATTTCAGTGTGTGACACAATTCCTTTTCAAATATTTTATCATATTAAGGAAAGTTAGTGTACTGGGTGAACCCCCCTGTATCTGCTGGAGTTCTGGTCGGAGTACTTGCAACCTTGATCTCTCTCTCATGGTTCTCATCCATCTCCCTTCTCTCAAACCTTCTCCTTCTCCTGGTCCTAGGAGGAGTAGGATCCAAGATCTATGTTCATCTAATGGGAATGCTGAAGAAACCATGCAAGGTAGGATAGGATAAAATCAAAAAACATTAGAGTGGCATGTCTGATTTATAAAGGTACCCATAAATCTGATCAAGATTGACGGAAACATCTTTATGTTTCTATCTTAATATTGAGTGCCAAATGATATCATTACTTCTACTGTCCATGACACTCTATAAATGATATCATTACGTCTACTGTCCACGCCACTCTATAAATGATATCATCACGTCTACTATCTACGCCACTCTATAAATGATATAATTATGTCTACTGTCCACGCCACTCTATAAATGATCTTATTACGTCTACTGTCCATAACACTCTATAAATGATATCATTACGTCTACTGTCCACGCCACTCTATAAATGATATCATCACGTCTACTGTCCACGCCACTCTATAAATGATATCATTATGTCTACTGTCCACCCCACTCTATAAATGATATCATCACGTATACTGTCCACGCCACTCTATAAATGATATCATTATGTCTACTGTCCACGCCACTCTATAAATGATATCATCACGTCTACTGTCCACGCCACTCTATAAATGATATCATTATGTCTACTGTCCACGCCACTCTATAAATGATATCATCGCGTCTACTGTCCACGCCACTCTATAAATGATATCATTATGTCTACTGTCCACGCCACTCTATAAATGATATCATCACGTCTACTGTCCACGCCACACTATATGATATCATTATGTCTACTGTCCACGCCACTCTATAAATGATATCATTACGTCTACTGTCCACGACATTCTATAAATAATATCATCACGTCTACAGCTAGTTCACACCACTCTAAAAATGATATCATTACGTCTACTGTCTACGACATTCTATAAATGATATCATTACGTCTACTGTCTCGCCACTCTATAAATGGTATCATTACGTCTACTGTCCACGCCACTCTATAAATGATATCATTACGTCTACTGTCCACGACACTCTATAAATGATATCATTACGTCTACTGTCTACGACACTCTATAAATGATATCATTACGTCTACTGTCTACGACATTCTATAAATGATATCATTACGTCTACTGTCTACGCCACTCTATAAATGATATCATTACGTCTACTGTCCACGCCACTTTTGATTTTGTATATTATAAACTCAGTGAATTTAAACACAAATATTTGTTTATTGTAAAGTGTTAACTTGCCTTATCTCTTATATTCCTTTGATGAACTTACTTTTTTTTTAAAAAAGTTATGAGTCATAAAAAGGTTGTAAATTTTGAAGTTGTTTTCTTTTCTTTAATTGTTTGTGCAATTTAAAATCATCAAAACAATGAAGAAAATCTTCCAATGTTGCTAATAAACGGACACATCTAAGAGCTTCATCTATGAAATTGTTTTTTGTTTGTTTTCATTTGTGATAATTGCATTTTGTGTAGGACCCCCTGGCACAGCTGGCCGTAGTAGATGTTTCAGTAAGCGAAGAATGTGTCGCCGAATTGTTAAAATCGACAGCCGAAACATTAAATAATACAACCAGGTATAGATATTTATTACTTTTTAGACATTTAATTTTTTTTATATTGCTATAATTTCTAAATTTCGTTCATATTTATATTTATACTAGCTAGAGAACCCGGCGTTGCCCAGATTTATATTATTATTTATAGTCACTCCCGCCTTGTACCCGCGCCTGGTATAAAATTATGATATTATATGTCTAGGGTTGCCCATGGAATTCTAAAATAGATTTCTTTTTTTATGTTTTTATCCTATGTTACCCCAAGTTACCCATGGGTTCCCTTAACAATTTTCAGTCCATCTAATTGAGCTTTTTGGCCCGCTATAGCGAACATATAAATATATACACACTTGACAACGGTCACCTTTTTTTGTATGGTAAAAAATGACAGCGAAAAAATAAACAGAGGTTTATAGGGTACTAATGTGAATCGGTCATGGATCTCTTTCAGATTTATATATTTAGTGAGTTGAGACGTCTGTTGCTGGCTGAGTCTTTGTATGACTCCATGAAGTTTGGTTTGGTTCTCTATCTTCTCACCTTTGTCGGAGCCATCTTTAATACCCTAACTCTTGTTATCATTGGATGTGTCTTTGCATTCATTCTTCCTAAGGTTATTAGTAATTTTACAACATTTTATAATGTCATATTTTTTATAAGTTTATTTGCGATAAAAACTTTTCGAAAATTTTGTTATCCCAAAATGGACAATTTTGCTTGGGCGTGTACGTGTACGTTTTATTTCACGACGTAATTTTTGAAATTTTAATGGTTTTGTTTAATTTTTACTTACCTTAATACTACCCTCAAGAGTTTTTTCGAGAAAAGCTTATTTTATTTTTTCCTCCAAAAATGGACAACTAGAAAAAACTATTTCATACGCATCACAAAGCTGATTTTTGAGATACACGTGTATTTTTTTATTGTCCGAAATATGTAGCAGCCTTTTTGCCTTTTGGTATCGTATTTTGAATCTGAATTTAAGACGACATTTAAATTATATATCATTATTTCTTAATATAATTTTCTTCAAGATCTGTGAGGATAATCAGGATAGTGTGGACGATATCGTCTGAAAAATCATTGAAACAAAAACAATAGGATTATTCTGATTTTGTTTTTAAAAGAATTTTGTAAGAAAGTTTTTTAAAACTATTTTGTGTGACATGTTTGAAATGGGCCCAGGTAAAATTAATGTAGAAATGTTTTAACAAATAAACTAGGGTTTAACGAAATAAAGGAAAATTCGATCAAAAGCATTATGTTGCAGGTAACTGAAAAGTACAAAGCAGTTGACAGCAAGTTAGCAGCTCTATTCCCAGGTCAACAGGCAGAGAAGGTCGAGCCCATTCAGGTAAAAGATATTTTTTATTAGATTTTAAAAATTTAAATACAAAATTTCTTCTGGATCTGTTATCATCATTTTAACTATTATTTTGAATTTTATCAAAGTCATTCTTATTATTATAATTATTATTATAATTATTATGATTATTATCATTATTATTAATAATAATAATAATCACTTTTTCTGAAAAATCTTCATGCATAATGGAATGTTTTTTTCAAAAATATTAGATTTGATTTTCCAATTATTTTTCATCAATATTAAGTTTTTTTATTCTAATTTCCACAATATCATTATTAATATATTTAATATTGCAGGTGGAGGAAAAAGAAGAGTAGAGAGTCAAAGCAGTCAAACCAAACCAAACAAAAAACTAAATTTTTTATCTTAACTTTTAAAACCTAACTTTCCTCCCCAGTAATAACAAAGTGCTAAAATGTCAGGCCTGCTGCTCAAAAAAGTTGTTATTTTTGTTTTTTGATGATATTTTTATAAATAAAAATATATTTGTTCATTATTTTATACTACACATACAGATGTTGACTTGGAATATCTAAGACGCAGCTAACAGTATGATATAAAACTCAAGTGTGGTACAGACGGTATGCACAATGAACCCCTATAAAAAACTTACTAAGAAAAACAAAATCAATTAATTTAAAATATCGATGTACACTGTTAATGAGGTACCCGCTAATGATGCAACATTAATGGCGACGTAAAACTTCTTATATTTGTCATTTAACCCTATAAAGACTGGTGGGGGTCTGAATCTATGTATAGCCTGGGGGCGGGTCCAAAGTTTTTTTTTACAAGTTTCATGCAATTTTAACTCTAAACAGGCTGGGGGGTTGACGCCCCTCCTCTAGTTTTTTTTTACCTTAGCACTCCCATTTTTGACACTATCACCTTGACATTTTATTACTTTTTAAGGAATAGTAATTTAAAAGAAGTTTATGTAAAAATAACCAGTTTTTTAATGCAAAGGGCAGGGTACAGGACGGTAAAAAGGTTGGTCCGTGTGAAAATCACAAATAGCCCATAACTTTTTTGGTATTAAGGCTACAAATCTAAAAACTGCATTTTTTACATTATTATTACATATGAAAGAAAAATGAATCAATGCAACTACTCATTTGATTGAATATTCGACGAGTCGGTTTTTCTTACAATTTATTATTATTTACAACGATACAAAAACTAAGGGAAAATACTATACGAATCAAATAGCATGAATTGAGAATGTTTCAGAGTGATGGGAGATCTCCAGGGGAACCTATTAACTAGGGAGCTGGTCTTCAACTGCCATTTTTCCCCAAATTTCACTCCACACTCGACTAGAGCTTAACCCTAGTTCCCCGGGAGCTGGCCGGCCATCCCACCAGCACCCGGGCCTCTGGAATAACGGAACTATTGGCGTGGCTTCGGTTTTCCGCGTGGCTTGGGTTATTTATAGAATTCACATATAAACACGAATAAATCCGTTAGGTCTATCCAAAGGATAGAGAAAAGGGGGGGGGATGATACCCCCTAGGTAGCTATGATCTCAGCGATCTAAAAATCCTTGAATCGCTGATTGTAAAAGATCAACAAAATCACACATTGTTACATTATTTCGACCCTTTTCTTTACAATTTTTTCAAACCTCTTTAGCACCCAAGCTATATTAGCTAGTGGTTCAAATTCTTTATCAATGAGGTGACTTTGAAAAATTGGGCTATAAACAAGCAGCATGCATTCTAAGAAATTTCAAATATTCATCTAACAAAATTTGTTGGAGCACCGGACTCAAATACACCTTAGCAGAATCATTTGTCAAATTTTGTTAAATGTAATTTAGGTCGCCTTAATTCAACGTTTTTTCATGATCTATCAACTGGTGTTAGTCAGGGAGTAAGGAATATTCCTTACTCCCTGTTGATTGAGTTGATTAATCATAAATCAAAATTTGTTTAATCTTACACAAACTAAAATATCGGCTAATTACAATGAAAGAAAACTGTCATATGAGAAACGAAAGATGTCATATGACAAAGTTTGGCACATGCCAAGAGAACAATGTGTAAGCTATTAACAAGTTTTGTTAGATTGTAATTTTGGAAAATATTCAACAAAACTTGAGTAATGAAAGAAGAAATTTGAAAAATGAAAGAAGAACTTTGATGTCTGATGCTAAAAACCCAAGTATTTATTTAAGTATTTAACCAGAAAAGTGAACAAAAGTCACCATTTTTTAAAAAACAAATCCGTTTCATTTCTCTCTGTAAAATATAATCCTTTATGGTTAACCTGTACCTTGAAAGTACTCTAGAAATTTTATAAATTGAATAAGAGCTCACACTCTAGATGTAGAAAAATAAACATCTTATGGTTACAAGTGTTTTTTATTTGTTCCAACTTGATGAAAACCAGAATTTAGCCGGATGTGGATGTTTTGACAAGAGTGAAGATTTTAATTAATTTGTAAAAAAAATAACAATAAACAACAGAAAGACTCAGAGTCAACTTACGTACCCAAAGAGAATAGAATATATATTAGAGTGGAATTTAGCCAATCCCTCGGTATGAATTTTTTCAGTCCCTTTCAGCCTGAAAGGGAGTTCAAAGTGTGCAAATCATGTAAATGTTCACAAATTATATGCAGCAGAGTACATAGCAGACTATCCATTTCAACTTCGAATTATTTAAAGCTGTTAAATAAACTTTATAATTAATTAGGTGAATAAAAAACATCATTTGATTTATAGTTATAACGGAAAATCGTCGTTTGTAAAGTGAAAGGCATAGAGTCTATGTGAAATGATCATTGGTCAATTATGAACCCAGCCTATTTCATAATTTGGTTTTCTTTCAATATTAATTTTAGATTTTCTATAAAATGATGTTCCAGGGCCCAAAAGGTTATATAGCGCAAATATGTGAAGTACACCTGCAGTATAGAAACAGTACAACAAAACGGCCGTTTTACACTTTTTTCTAGTAAGTTCCACTCTAATATATATTCTATTCTCTATGTATATACCAAGTACGCTAAACTCTACTGTATCTTCGGTCAGAGTACTGTACAATACTGCAGAACACAGTGAAAGCATATTTGAGGGTGTTCACCGCCCCCCCTTTCATTTTTTTTCTGAACAAGACGCATCAATACATATTTGAGTGGGCCCACCGCCACATTGTTATTTTTTTTCTGAACAAGACGCATCAATACATATTAATATGTAATATGTGTTCATACATGGTTACCCTTTAAACCCACAACAAATGAGACTTCAGAGTTGTAGCTGCAGAAATCTTTTTCTTAAATTCTATGAATAATTCTTTGAATTTTAATAAGCACTCTACAATAAAATGCTGAAAAAATCTTTTTTTTGTCTAAACCCTATTTCTTTCTCATAAACTTTTAAAAAGTTATTTTATTTTTTAATGTCCGTTTAAAATCAACAATTCTTATTCTTATCAGTTCATCGTTGAAAAATGCTAACAATAAACCAAAATTATTAAAAAAGTTTAAAGTTTAAACAATGTTACTCTCCTTTTCCCTCCAGTTTTCTTTTTTTTATAATTGGGGTATATATTCCATAACCTATGTTTTTTTAGGTTTTTAAATATTTCCTCCTTAAACACTTTATTTTATATTTTTTTGTAATTTTTATAAATAAAATAATACTTACTAATTGAGCTATTAGAAGTAAAAACGTCGTACCGGTAATTCTCACGTCTCCAGAATCTAGACTTGATTAACATTTTGAATTGAACAGAATGAATCACAAAATAATTCAACTTTTATCGTTGACTAACTGGAAAGTCGTCTTCCAACGATCAAATTTTTTATTTTATATAAATTCTTACATTGCTATTTCAAAAACTGTAAAATGTTTAAGTTTGAAATATCAATACCAGATTGGAAAGATATATGAAAAAGAATATTTGAGTTTGTGGAAATGACTCTTGACATGAAATATACTGCAATATATACACTAAATAAATAAACATTTTAAACCTAAGAATTTGTTAATAAAGGATGAAAAATTTTGTACAAATTTATTTTGATCTTGGGCAATTTAAAAAAAATATTGCTGGGAAAAAATGTTAGGAAAATTTAATATCTGAGAAAGCCTTGCAAGGGAAAAATATTTTGGGTTACTTATAAATAGTGTTTTAAGGATCATATTTTTTTAAAAAGTAATTAATCATTTTGGGTCTTTTTTTAACGAAACTTCCAGGATTTCAAGGGTTTATTCTGGCAAAGTTGCTTTTATTAATCAGAAACGGATTTGATAAAGCACTTTAGGAAAAAATGCGATAAGCCCTACTTCAATAAAAGTTTTCAGACCCATATGAATCCAGGTACAACTCAATCCCTCTCATTAATCCGCGAGGCATGAGAAATATTCCGTTCAATTAATACTTTATTATCAATGTCAATCCGGACACGACTTTATCTGTATCAGTACTCACTATATCTATCTTTTTTTAAAGAAAGTGATTCAGGACGCTTCTCGTTCACTAACCAAGAAGTAGTTACTCTCACACCGTAATCAAAGCGGAGTATTTTCCAACTGACGTTTTCTTTGATTTCTATGTTACAGATTAAGTTTAATAGACGTAATTACAAGTTTTGCGTCGTTAGATATTTACAGACGTAGCAAGGTTAGGTTAATCGCATTACAAGATTTGCGTAGTTATTGATAAGCTCATTTAGATTTACAGACATTGTACAACGTAATTTATCTAGGTGTAACTATGGGATTTGCTACGATATTTATTAATAATATTTAACTATATTAGCAATTAGCATACACCGATCTGTTATACATAACAGTAATTTCATTTGAAAATATTTTACATCGCATTTTGCAATAAATTCCAATTTAATTTTGAATTATCGAAGACGATATTTATTTAATTTAACGTTTTATCTGCACTAAAAGATTTTTGTCTAAAAGGAATAGACCCCGAAACAGACAAAAATCCAATTCTAACATATGGTTATTGATCAAAAATAATTAAAATATTTAACACTTATCACTGTGACTTAAATTAAGGACTGCAAAGTCTAAAAAGTTAAAACTTCCTTCCTATAAAGGGACAGTCATAATTTCCAGCCTTTGTTTTACCAAAAATATTAAGATAATCTGGATTTCCAGCCTTTGTTTTACCAAAAATATTAAGATAATCTGGATTTCCCTCGAACCTTGATAAATATCCACTGCAATATTTTTAAAGAGACTTTTACATTGTAGGAAATTACTTGAATTATCGGTTTTTTTTCATTTTAAAAACCGACGAGGTTCAATTGTAAGTACGTGCAGACACTCTACAGCCTTTTTAATAGTCTAATCTTTCAAATGATATGTTTTGTTGAGTCCTGGAATGAATCTTCCTACTTGTGCAGAGTAGAGTAGAGCACAGTGTGCATAATGGTTCAGTTTTTACAAGATTGCTCAACAAACCCTGCCTCTGTGTATCTCTGCTGTTGTTAGAATATGAGTTAAAAGAAATGTAGATATAACTAAGTTTAGAGCGTTTTGCGCCCCTTTATTGGTCAGGACTTTCGTTCTTCTATATACGAAACTGGCAATTAGACAAACATAAGCCACATTTTTGGCTCAGCTACATTTTGCCTGGTCACATTTTGCCTAGTCACATTTTGCCTAGTTCACTTTTGCCTAGGTAACATTTTGCCTAGGTAACTTTTCGCCTAGTTCAAGTTTGCCTATTAACATTTTGCCTAGGGTAACATTTTGCCTAGGTAACGCAAGAGCAAGTTTTTTGCCTAGTAAATAATTTTTTATAAAAAAAACAAATTTTGTCGAGAATTAAACATTTTTTTAAAAGTTTAACCAGATAAATTTTAATGAATTAAAAATAATGAATTGAATTGTATTCTGTACAGCAATTTTAACATTCCTGTCACTCTACAAAAGATAAAATATGGTTATGCATCAGATATATATATATATATATATTTTTTTTTTAAATACATTTTACATAATCATGGAGTATACATAGGAATTCATACAGGTGATCTTTATTTATCATTATTTATCTTCTGCTGGTCATGTGCAAGGTTTTGGATATAATCAGCTTTCGGCATAGTATGGAAAGCTTCTACAACAAATTTCACCCTCTGTCTGGAGTCCTTTGATCCAAATTTCACCCTCTGTCTGGAGTCCTTTGATCTCTGCTTTCCTTGAACATTGGCATATTTCTCAATCACAGCCTTTTCTGTGGTCTTAGCTTTCGTCTTCAGCAGCTTGTTGGTATGGCCATGAGTTGGGAGTACATCCCCTACCAGGTTTCCAGTAGATATCCTCGTTGTTAGGGCTGCAGTGCATGATCTCTGGGAACAGCGCCAATTCTTGGTCTCTGCCCTCTCCCCATTGAAAACATAATAGAAGTTATTCTTATCTCTGTAGTTGGGCTTACCCCGCCTGGTAAGCCCTGCAGTTATCATGGGAGCCATTTTCAGTGTGTCTCTCCTTCTGATTGGGTTAAAGGAAACTGAATGATTTTCAAAAATTTGCGAAGTTTTTGCCAAAAAATTTGCGGATTTTTTAAAAAAAATCTCGGATTTTTGGAAAAAAAATCTCGGATTGATGAAAATTTCTTTGTGAAAAAATTATTGACTAGGCAAAAAATTCGCTCTTTTGTTACTCTAGGCAAAATGTTACCCTAGGCAAAATGTTACTAGGCAAAATGTTACCTAGGCAAACTGTTACCTAGGCAAAATGTTACCCTAGGCAAAATGTTACTAGGCAAAATGTTACCTAGGCAAACTGTTACCTAGGCAAAATGTGACTAGGCAAATTGTGACTAGGCAAAATGTAGCTGAGCCACATTTTTTATAGAAGGTGAGATTTCTAGTTTTACAATTTTCTCACTTATACACAAACATTATAAAACCAACATTTAAAAAACAAAATTCATTTCAAAAATGTGTATGTTTTCAAACCTCATCACGATTTTTATACGCAACATTTCTTAGCAGGTTTATTTTTCCCTGTCAGAAAGTCGTACCAGAATTCCTCTTAAAATGAACACCATTTTGATCTTAAAGGGTGTTAAAAAAAACCTTTTTTTTAAAAAGTCAAGTTAAAACATTTGCAAAAAAAAACATTTGCAAAGCTCAGAGAGGTTCAGAACTGGCTTGAAAGTTACAAGAATCTGTTTGAACACGATCAATACAACCCAAAAACTCGGGAAAGCTTTATAAGTTACAAGATTACATATAATAAATGTATAATTATTATTTACTAGCTGAAGTCCCCGTGGAAATTTAAAAACACTTTGGAACAACTATTTCGGATTTGCAACAAATTTTTTAAATTTTTTTGTTTATCCATATTTGTTATCCTCCAGGTTACCCAATACCCATGAGTTTCCATTGGTCCAGCCGCTTGGCCAACTGTAGCTACCTAATATATATATGAGCAAAGAGCTTTATTTTATAGATTGTATGAACTATTAAATTCAAATTAAAGTTCAGCTATTGTAATAAATTATTAACGTAAACTAAACTATAAAGATGGTGTACAGGGTTACCCACAAATGCTGAGACTGTAAGGAACACTTGAGACTTATATATTATGGTAATCACAAGGTTACATCTAGTCTCCTTCCTTTATTATATTTACCTATTGTAATAAATTATTAACGTAAACTAAACTATAAAGATGGTGTACAGGGTTACCCACAAATGATGAGACTGTAAGGACGACGTGAGACATATATATTATGGTAATCACAAGGTTAAAGTGATTAGCCTCCTTCCTTTATTATATTTACCTATTGTAATAAATTATTAACGTAAACTAAACTATAAAGATGGTGTACAGGGTTACCCACACATGATGAGACTGTAAGGACGACGTGAGACTGATATATTATGGTAATCACAAGGTTACATCTAGTCTCCTTCCTTTATTATAGTCTTTCAGTATCATATCAAATGAATTGGCAAAGAAATAAACAAGTTTAAAGTTGCTGCTAACATTGAGTATAAGGAAACAGTTTAAATTCCGGACAGTCGTCTCTGAAGTCTCATTCTTTGTAGCAACCCTGTTGTCCTAGCTTTAACCAAAGGGATTAGATGTAAGGTGGGGATGATTGGTTTTCACTGTAACATTCGACTATTATGGTAAATAGACAACAGTATGACCCTTTAATCCTGTCCAGAAAAATTCTGATCTTAGATTACAATTTTTTTCACTGTTTTAATAAAACGATATTGTAAAATGTGTAAGAAACCCCTATCCCCCCCCCATCACTGTGATTTAAAGGTTACAAGCTCTCAAGCAAAATCGATGAGAATTTTGCCAATTACTTACAAAGCTAAAAGCAAGTACTTTAAAGTTTTAAAATGTAGATGTTAAGGGCTACGAAAAAGCTTTAAAGTGATTTAGAAAGGTAAAATCAACGCTTTGCAACAGAGTCGAGAAAATTGATGCAACATTTTATAGCAGGCTGAATAGCTATGTGCCTAACCTTTAGCTTACTCACATTGGGTTGAACTAAGGTTGACTACTGTAGAAAGGTTTTCATTTAAAGGGAGTGACCGGCAATGTATGGTGGCTGAACTGAATATGCAGTATTGTGGACAAATTTTTTAGGATTCATTTAAAACATAAAAAAGCTATTCTATGACGTATATTTACTAAGTTTGATCGCAAAGTCGACTTTCAAAATCATCTTTTTGGGGGAATACGTTTTGAGAATCGGTTTTTTAAAATTAAGTAAAGACGAAAAAAATGTAAAAAAAATTCTACAGTAAATTAATTAGTTGTTTAGGAACAGGTTGAGAAAATAAAAATTAATTCTTATCATCAAAATAAATATATTTTCATTAAAACTTTGAACATTTCTCTGTGTATTTTTCGCAGGTTTTTGAAAAAGTTTAATGTTGTGCCGCGTGCGACATTATTTTCATGTACGCGCAATTGTCACAATAACAACTAGTTTGGATTGAGCGGAGAAAATTGTCGTCTTCATACATGTAGATTTTCAACTGAGGATTCACATAAAACAAACTTTCCAGAAATGAGGGTAAATCGAAAAGTGTTGCTCCTATTTTTTTCAACTGTTCCAAAACAACTAATTAGTGTACTGTAGAATTTTTTTAAAACATGTTTTGTCGTCGTTATTTATTAATTTTAAAAAAGCGATTCTCAAAACGTATCAAATGAATCCTAACAAATTTGTCCACAATACGACATATTCAGTTCAACCACCATACATTGCCAGTCACTCCCTTTAATAGTTGTCCAACTATTCTATCCCTAACATTAGAAACTTTCTCAATATACATTTAATCATAAACTTTCATTCTTATACACATAACTCATGGACAATAAAAGAGGTTGGGGTTTAGATAAATATAGCATTATATAACTAAAAGGAATGGATTTTTTGCCACAAACTCAGATTTTCTAATCCCTAAATCTTTGCGACCCGATCACTTAGATCTTTGATAGTTTAAACTTTATACATTCTGTTGGATCAAATAGTGTTAGTTTGAAATATTAAAGGTTTAAACCATTAGGGATGCACAGTTCCATTGCAACCTTGATTGCAACTCTAAGAGCAAGGATGCAATGTTACATTGTTGTATAGTTGCAATATTACATTGTTGTATAGTTGCAATATTACATTGCTGTATAGTTGCAATGTTACATTGTTGTATAGTTTCAATGTTACATTGTTGTATAGTTGCAGTGTTACCTTGTTGTATAGTTACAATGTTACATTGTTGTACAGTTGCAATGTTACATTGTTGTATAGTTGCAATGTTACATTGTTGTATAGTTGCAGTGTTACATTGTTGTATAGTTACAATGTTACATTGTTGTATAGTTGCAATGTTACATTGTTGTATAGTTACAATGTTACATTGTTGTATAGTTGCAATGTTACATTGTTGTATAGTTGCAATGTTACATTGTTGTATAGTTGCAGTAGTACATTAACACATATTTCTTTTCTTTACTTGAAGAAGAAAAAGGTTTCCGGGTTTTTTTGTGGTACCATGTGAGTATTAAAAAAATTAAAACAATATTGAAAATATTGCAAATAATCCGTGCATAATAATTTCATTAAAAAATTAATTGTTTTGATAAAAACTACGCTAGTCACATTTTTTTTGACTCACCCTTTATTTCTTTTTGAATACGGTTGGTAAAAGTAAATATAAAATTGAAGAAACTTGGTTCAAAGTTTAACATTCAATATAAATATTAAATAGATTGCCGATAATACAGATTTGGTTTCTCTTTAGGAGGAGAACTTTAGTTTTAACAGTTTTAAACTACTGTACACACCACTTATACTGTACAATTACATACCACATATACTGTACATACCACATATACTGTACACACCTCATATACTGTACAATATACATACCACATATACTGTACACACCACATATACATGTATATACCACATATACTGCACATACCACATATACTGTAAAAATACCACATATACTGAACACACCACATATACATGTATATACCACATATACTGCACATACCACATATACTGTACAAATACCACATATACTGTACATACCACATATATTGTACATACCACATATACTGCACATACCCCATATACTTTACATACCACATTTTGCATTTTTTCGCATTCCGTTAGCTTAAACACATTTCTGTTCGCTTTTTTCGCGAAATTTCTTGTAAATTTGTTTTGCGAAAAAAAAATTGCGAAAAGAAACAACAAATGCGTAAAATTCGGCATATTTTATTTTTTTCACAAAATTCCTTATTGTTTTCGCTTCCTTTAGCGAAATTATACGAAATACTAAAGAAAGTTCTCGTTCGCTGGGAACCCTACCTCTAAATCATTTCTTTTCTTGTGCCAGAAAAATAATATTATCAAAATTTGGAATTATTTGTTAAAAAAAAATATTACTTTAAGCTATCCCTACCGGGTTCTGTTTCAGACCACGTATATCCCTAATTAATTTAATCCTTTGATGACAGAAGATACGAACAACTGTTTGATCCAGGGGTTAACAACACAACAATTTTGACCTCAGATCAAATTACTGAATTTATTCTTGGTCGTTATTAAAGTTGGCCGTTTAAACAAACGGTATTAATTTTACCACCAGGTTGTCCAATCCCGATGTTTTGTATATTTTAGTAAGACAGTAAACCTTAGGTTAAAAACAAAACATAAAATAAGAAACACTTTACCAAAAAAGTACACAGTAAAATATCTAAAATATTCGACAATGGGTCTAAAAAAGTTTTATTTTGTATTTCAAATCTAATGTACGAATTACAAGTTACACAAGTGAACTGTTTTTATTTAATTGTTATTGAAAACTATGGAGAAGGAAACATGTTTAAATATTTCTGTAAATGTACGTATTTTCAAACTCAGGTTTAAAATATGTGCAATATCAAGGAGCGGAAAATCTAGTTCGGTAAAATGAAGAAAGGATGTATTACAGTTAAGATTAAAAACACAATACTTTAAACAAAAGAATAAAATTCAAGGTTTGAATATTTTTTTAAAAAATAAATAAGGCCTAAACAAGCAGGTTTATATATTTAAAGCCCTATCTGAGGAGCTTTATCCGGCATAACACTAATTTTTCGAGCCATCATTCCGGCCGGAGCAATTGTCATTCTCCGTAGATTTATGTTTAATCCGCCTGGAGTTTTAACCGCCTCCGCCTTTTTGCATTTATCCTCCATATTCTTGACCATCTGCTGCTTCTCCTTGAAGCTTCCCTTGAGTATATTGAGCTGTTCCTCGAGCTGCTCTATGGGTATATCCAGCTGCTGCTCCGGGGATGAAACAAAGTTTCCCAAGGTTTGAACCTGACCTTCAAGATGACTCCAGCTGGTCACAAGATCGTTCACGTGGCTCAACCACTCCCTAGAGAAAGAACATATGGAATCAATAAAATTTTGGAATATAAAGACGACATTTGTCGACGTATTTTCGAGAAAACCTCCATTTAAAGTATACCCGATTTACGGTAAATTCGTTTTATAAAAATTCCTGAATCAAAATAAACATATTTTCTAAATTAATCATTATGAGACATAGGAAACATAATGAAAAAATTAACCAATAGAGAAAAAAAGAATTAAACATTATAAAATTAAATTTTTTTTTACAAATAACACAGAAAGGGCTTTAAAATCTCTATCTGAGTGCAATTTAAAATAATAGATTAAAAAAGAGTAACTTTGTCATTCTTGTTCAGACGAAGGTTTACAGGGTACCGTAGTAAATCGGCCATGAATAGCGGTTCACTTGACATTACGTCGTCAGTCGTCAGTCCCTTAAATGTGTATTTGATGGTGTAATGAGTCAACTAGTTTCTCCAGGAGCTCCATTCGAAAATAAATTGGACCTGTTTACACTGCACAGTTACTGAGTCTCAGGTTCAATAGAATATTCAAAATGATCACTTAAGTCAAAATTTGTCTTCCATATTATACATATTTTTGGGTCTCATTGTACAATAACACAAAATAGGTCGTAGATTCTTTCGTTTGGCATTTCAACAAAAAAAAACAATCATCATGAACGATGAACATTAATTGTTCGCATTATAAAAGAATTTATCAAGTAACATTTCGAAATGAAGTTATAAGAGAATAAATAGAAAAATGCATACTTAGCTACGATGTCACACTTATCACATCTTTCAGTAAACTGTTCCACTGTTACGTCACAGTAGCTGTGATGAGTCATGTTCTTAAAATAAAGATTAAAATTATTATTATTATTGCCCCCCACCCCACTCCTAAAAATATTTACTTCAATATCTGAGCAATTAAAAGTTTGGCTTCGTAAAGATTTTAAATGTCAATTTGTAACATAAAACAATTGCGTTTTACAATAGTAATTGTGGATCCAATTTTCAGAGAGAGTATGCACATTTTGAACGTAAAAGAACTTGTATGCCAAAAAATTCTCAATCACATGTTTTTTTTTTTTAAATTGTTTTTAAAACAAGAAATGATTAAAAGTTAGTTTGGAAATGCTGATTAGCATTAAACAATAATCACAGAGTAGATATAGACATAGGTTTAGTGTGCGGAGTACAACAAGTAAGCTGGGATTTTGTAATTGAAAACAAACCCTGTCGTATGTGTACGGTATGAACCCCACTCCTCTAGAAATCGAGGTTGAGATGAGTTGGCTGAGTGTCTATCTTTGTCTATGCCAATAGTGCATCGCGTCGTGGGGAAAATGGTTTATCTTTATTGGGTTCAATAGTTTCATATTAAACTATTGAAAAGGTAGGGTTAGCACTACCCCCCCCCCCCCTCTCCAGGTCCAACCTGTGCAGTTAGTTTAGCATCTTCTAGAACCTTCCTGTTCTTCTCTAGGTCTGATGCAAACTTTTCACACGCATCCTTCATCCTCAAACCACTCTCAAGATTCTAGAAATTAAAAACGCGATACAATACATTTATTTGGTATTTATACAAAACTGCAAAGTCATACAAAGCTCTCATATTTTTGTAAGTTCTTTTAAGTTTAAGTTTTAAGTTTACATCAATACAATGAAGACGACTTTTCTATTTAAGTTTTTATTTCTAACAAACTTTTTCAACAAGCTGTTAATGTTGTTTGAAAGCTTGCGAGAAATCAAAGTGAAATAGAAAGTCGTCTTCATATATATAAAAGATGACATCAGTATGCCCTCATCAGTGCAGCCAAATTAAAGTGGCCATGCCTTAATAGCAAAAGAATAGTAATCAAAGAAACCCTTTTCAATTTGTCCATTTTTACTCCTTTTATCCGGTTCTTCAGAAGAAGGGGAAACCCAAAATCAGGGTTGTCGCATCATTTATTCATGTGTGTCATGTCCGGTACACAACAGAACCCTTAAAAGCTTTGTCTGATTAAGAATCCACAAGATATTTATCACTTTTTTCTAAAAATATATTGTTTATTGGGTACCGTTGTAATCAGGACATGCCGCTTTTTAAATACAACATTAATCGAAATTACAATCCCTTTCACAAAAGGATAATTATTCAAAATCCCGAGGAAGTTCAACCAACAATCTAAACAAAAAATGATTTACCTCTGGAACAGTTAGTCCTTCTCCAATCTTGGTTTCGTATGCAACAAGTTTAGGATAGAACTCTTGTAACCCGGTCTGGTACTCCGCAAAGTACCTGGAGAAATATCATGTTCTAACTCGTCTCAAGTTGATTGATTGATTAGTTCTCAAACACAGTAAAAAGTTTGATTTTAACATTTAATGACAAGAAGCTGAGTTTGCAATCAGATTAAATTTATAAATTTTATTTCAAATTTTGTTAAAAAGTAAAAAAAACCTAAGCCTAGAATTTATTTTAAGGAATTCAAATAAAATTAACACTTGGGTTATGCCACCACATTGACCTAAAGTACAGAGCATATGGGAACAGGACCATGCTACCTGACATCCTTTCTGTACTGTTGGAACATGGTACCTGAAATCCATACTGTACTGTTGGAACATGCTACCTGACATCCTAACTTACCTGACATCCTAACTGTACTGTTGGAACATGGTACCTGACATCCTTACTGTACTGTTGGAACATGGTACCTGACATCCTTACTGTACTGTGGGAACATGGTACCTGACATCTTTACTGTACTGTGGGAACATGGTACCTGGCATCCTTACTGTAATGTTGGAACATGGTACCTGACATCTTTACTGTACTGTGGGAACATGGTACCTGACATCCTTACTGTACTGTGGGAACATGGTACCTGACACCTTTACTGTACTGTATGAACATGGTACCTAACATCCTTTTACTGTGAGAACACTGTTCAGCGTGGTATGCCTATTTACCAATACAATGAGGACGACGACATCCTTTGGCATTTTTGCTTTCTAACCAGTTTACCTGACATCCTTGCTGTACTGCGCGAAATCCCTCTGAACCTCCTCCTGTAGTGTGGTGATGGAGGATCTCAAGCTCTTTAATCTCTCCAGAAGATCCTTCGCATCCTTTACACAATAGTCAATGAATTTAAAAGAATTATGCAAGGGAGTGTACAATAATTTCGAGAGATTCCGATTTACAACGGTATTCTTCAAATCTCTATGTAAGGAACAATGAGGAAGATATTTTCGATCAAAAAAGTGTTAAGTTCTTATAAAATTACTGTATTGTTTCCGCAAAACAATTACCAGACAAACAAAGATTGAAAATAGTCAATTTTAGTTTTTAAAAAAAAGGATATATCATTTATCTTTGATCAGACAAAGGGTAAAAGGGTACCATTGTAAATCGCACATGCCAATTTAAAGATGGAAGACCACTTCTTGTACGAATTATTATTATCTTTATCTCAATCCGAATTTTCATGATGAAATCTAAATTAACTTAGAAAATTGTCATTTTGAAGAGAAACCTTTGGACAAACTAATACTATCGCACAGAATAGGCAGCAAAGGCAAAAAGGTTTTTATGTGATTTAATTTAAATCTGAGAAGTGGAAATCAATTTAATGCTTAAAAATATATCTTTTATTTCTAATGTTATATCTTATTTGAATTATAATAATATTCATATATCCATGAGATGAATCGTTCTTAATTTTTCTGAATTTATCTGACCTTGGAAACCTTTTCTCCGGGTCCAGGGAATAACTGAGCAGTCTTTTCCTCTAGGACAGAGCAGGCTTTATCTCTCTTGGTTAGATCCTCTGATAGCTCTAGAACCCTTCCTACTCTATCCTCAGGGTCAGGTGGGAGGAGGGAGTCCTCAGGGGCTCGAACTGTTGCAAGCTTCTCCTGTACAATAAGTAATGGTGTCCACAAATAGCTACGAGTCGACTTTAAGTCTGGTTTGTTAAATTTTCCAAAATGTGGTCTGTCTTTTTTGTATCTGAGATAAAGGATTTAAGACAATTTTCTGTTTTATTTCAAATATTATAATCCATAACTCTTTGTAGCTTCCTTCATTTAGAAGCTAGAAAACATTTTTGCGTAGGTCTAAGATGGTAAAAGACTATGCCGTCAGTTAATTCCTCCCCCTAAAAATAGGAACCCAGCTTTGCTTGGAAACTAAGTTTTCCAAGAAAAAATCAATCTATCCTCAACTTAGAACTTTTACACCAAGCTGAGAGCATTCTCGTGGAATCAAAATTTGAGGGAAATCAATTCAGGAGTTCAGGAGTTATGATCAGAACCCTAACAAACAGAATCACAACTTTATATAAATATTGCTGCTTCAAAGAAGGAAGATATATTTTTAATTGAAATAAAGATAATGTACGCTTAAAATCGTGCCCCCCCCCCCCCCCCTTTCTTTACTTTAGCTTAACAGGGGTTTCTATCTATTTATATTTCCATAAGCTCAGTTTTTCATCTCAAATTTAAAGCATGATGATTATTTTCTCAATATTCAGCAGATTTTTACATTCCACATTCTTACCTTAGCTTTCCCCTCCATCCACAATGTCGTCTTTGTCAGCAAATCATCAAATTCCTAAATATTAAAACTGATCTTTTACCCATATTGAACATCAAACTTCATAACATCAAACTTTACAAAATTTCTAAACATCAAAATATCAAACTTCTAAATTTCAAACTTCTGAACATTGAACTTCTAAATATCAAACTTCTGAGCGTTTAGCTTCTAAGCATCAAACTTTTAAATGTCAAACATCTAAACATCAAATTTTTAAGCATAATTTCTAAACATCTATCTATTTATCTATCCATTTATATATCTTTATATCTATCAATCTATTTCTGGTTGGATAGGAGAGAAAACAATTCTGGTTGGATAGGAGAGAAATCAATTCTGATTGGATAGGAGAGAAAACAATTCTGGTTGGAGAGGAGAGAAAACAATTCTGGTTGGATAGGAGAGAAAAAAATTCTGGTTGGATAGGAGAGAAAACAATTATGGTTGGATGGATAGGAGAGAAAACAATTCTGGTTGGATAGGAGAGAAAACAATTCTGGTTGGATAGGAGAGAAAACAATTCTGGTTGGATAGGAGAGAAAATATTAAAAATCAAACCTCGGCATGCTTTCCGTCCTGTAACTCCAGGGGCAAGTTTATCTGCAGAATATTGTTTGCAGTATTTATTTGGTTAAACAGATCTTCAATCTCAAACCTGTTAAAAAAATGTTTTAATAAAAAATGTTTTTTATTGAATTTAAAGAATTTGAGTTAGGTCTAGTGACGGTTCATCCACGTATCTTGAATTGGTGATTGAGATTTGTCAATGTCCTATAAACTTTATATACATCGGTACCACGGAGAAGTAGTTAAATCGGCAGTGAGTAGTTCAGTGATCTGACTCAAATTCATTAAATTCGGTCCCAAAGTTTTATAATAATCACGGGAATGGGCTGATAACTTTGATTTACACGGCATTTTTTCGTGAACACAGTAATTTCTATCAATCTACTGAAAACATTGGCTCATTGAATGATTTGTAAGGAACGATGACTCTACTACAAATAAAAAAGTAACATTATGAAAACAGAAGAAAAAAATTCTTTACGTCGTCTTCACATTCCACTATATTGTGTCTGCTGGCATTGCAAGATTATATAAAATAAAATTTACCTCATAGCAGCACTGATCTTCATCTTGTCAGCCAACTCTGCAGGACCCTTCTCTGATTTGTCAGCAGCATTTTTTAGTGTCAGCAGAGGTAGAAATGGTCAAGTTTAAAATATGCAAGGTTTACACCATCAGATTGCAAAGATTTAGGGATTAGAAAATTTGACTTTGTGGCAAATACTCAATTTCTTTGTATGGGAAAAAGTTTTTTTCTTGAATAATGTTAAAAAATAGTTTTGCTTTCCTAGATTATAATTCTTTTTGATTGTTTTTAGTTGAGCATCTGCTGAATCCAGGGTTTTAATGCATTCAATCTTCTAAATATATAAATATATAAATATATGAATATATTTATCTAATCTATCTATCTATCTACCTTCAGATCCTGATTAAACTGGAATATTTTGGCGAGCTCTTTATCCATATCCTCAAGTACTGTAGTCCGATCCTTCAATCCTTTCACCTAAATTATAAAAATATTTAATAATAAAAACCATTTTAGGAATTAAAAAACATATTTCGATGTGATTCAGGGCTTCAAAATTCCCTTAAACTAAATTTTAAAAATTTTGATACATTTTTACGGTGTTTTTTAAAATATTTAAAAATTCATTTTATTTTTTCAAATCAATAATCAAAACCCTTATTGACTCTTCATTATCGACGAGTCGTAAATGGGAACCCAGCGTTGCCCAGGGTACACAGTGTTACTCCCGGCGTTTACCCGCACTTGATCGTTTTACTGAGAAACTAAATTTTCGCTATAAAAATCGACAAACTCAAATTAGAATCTTAAAACCAAGCTAAGAACATTTCCGTGACTCTCCCGAGTTCCCCAATAAAAATTTGAGGCAAATCGGTCCAAGGGTTTTTGAGTCATGATCGGACAAACAAACAGAGAGATCACAACTTTATATATATAGATACAGATTTACAAGGATGGTTAAAAATTGCGGATGGCATTATCTATATATAAATTTGGCTTGTCTGTTTGTCTGTTTGTTTGTGTACAATAAACGTCAAAACGGCTGAACCGATCGGGCCCAAATTTTTTGTGGGACATTTGAATATATAAAATCTGTAGCTTAATTTTTTTTAAATATCATTGAATACAGCACTTTATGTTACTTTTAGACAATCATCCACTTTCAATAATTATTCGTTGAACTTTAGATTTTTAATTCGACTTATATATCTCAGAATTAAATATCACCTTTGTATCAAATATTTTCCAAGACTCGAGATTGTCAACCAAAGCTTTCTTTCTGATATTGGCCTTCTCGTTGGCAATATCCCAGGCCTCCTTCAGCTTGTTAACATGGTTCTCCAGGAACTTAGGACTCTTTGGGTCCTCCATCAGTTTTTCACCCTATGAAGGAACAGATTTAAAGATTTATAAATTGGAATAACGCATTTTGTCATTTTAGAAAATCCACAATTTAAAAAAGTGTAATAAATGCATTACACAATGTAATTTACAACCATGTAATCACGTGCAACAAAATTTTCTTGGTTCTAAAATAATTTTTTATTTTTTATTTGCTGTTTACATTATTCGAAATATTTTCTAGAAACAACATGAGCAAATTGTAAATATTGAAATGTTTCTTTTGATGTTATATTTGAAAGGAAAAATTCAAGTAACAATATTTCGATTCAAGGGTTTTGAGATAAAAAAATGTTCAACATTTTTTTAGTTAACCCATGAATTTCGTTCTAAATACTATTATAAAAAAATTATATTAATTTTGTCTTCCGTCTCAAAATTTTTATATGGATAATAATTCTAAATATTTTTATATGGATAATAATTCTAACACAACACAACACAAAACTTCGTTTGCTGAGCATGAAATTGCAAAAAAAAACCTTCTGTGTTAGTTTTTATAGAAATGATATATTTTTAAACATACTCTGTATTCATGAATTTTTACACATATCAAAAATTAGATTAGAACACTATTTTTTTGCAACCTGAATAAGTGTGATAGTGAAATGTAAAATCTGCAATTTCACAACGTTTTAATGAATAACTTAAACAATCAGACAATTTATCATATTTATAACGAGGGTGTCTTTGTGACAACCCCCCCCCCCCCCCCCCCAACTCAAACCTTGAACAAACCTTTGCGATGAATTCTTCAACAGTTTTCTTTTTATTGTCCATAATTCTCATAATTGAAGCGTGCTACAGAATACAGAACCATAATCTAGGAGGGTCAAATAAGGTGTAAACCTTTGTAACGTACAGACACTCTCTACTAAACTTTAATCTAGGAGGGTCAAATAAGGTGTACACCTTTCTAACGTACAAACACTCTCTACTAAACTTTAATCTAGGGGTCAAATAAGGTGTAAACCTTTGTAACGTACAGACACTCCCTACTGAACTTCAATCTAGGAGGGTCAAATAAGGTGTAAACCTTTGTAACGTACAGACACTCTCTACTGAACTTTAATCTAGGGGGTCAAATAAGGTGTAAACCTTTGTAACGTACAGACACTCTCTACTAAACTTTAATCTAGGAGGTCAAATAAGGTATAAACCTTTGTAACGTACAGACACTCTCTACTGAACTTCAATCTAGGGGGTCAAATAAGGTGTAAACCTTTGTAACGTACAGACACTCTCCACTAAACTTTAATCTAGGGGGTCAAATAAGGTGTAAACCTTTGTAACGTACAGACACTCTCTACTAAACTTTGATCTAGGAGGTCAAATAAGGTATAAACCTTTGTAACGTACAGACACTCTCTACTGAACTTTAATCTAGGGGGTCAAATAAGGTATAAACCTTTGTAACGTACAGACACTCTCTACTAAAACCAACAATTCATTTGGTCCTTGTACTGCAGATTACTGCATTACCTTAGCATAGTTTAGGATATTGGAATCATAAATCTCATATCAAAATAGTTAAGCAGGCATATACTTTTTGACCAAAACTGTTTAGTTAGCTTAAAAATGTTGTAAAGGATATCCTGCAAAAATATGTAAACAAACAAATATTTGATCTAGAGAGCTGTCTGGAAAAAAATATACAATACCACATTTTTGGAATTAGTTAAAAAAATTATTTAAAATGAAAATATACATATATCTAGATATCAATAATATCTCTCGATATGAAATGTCAGATATGATAAATAATGTTGCAAGGAATGCAGAGTATAGTTTTTAAAAGTTTGATAGATTATATCGAAGCAAAGATATTTTAGGAATATGCATTATGATGAATAGAGCATTACAGTTCAACTTTAAGAGGAGGAGGGGTTAAAAACTACAAAAAAAGCGAAATTTTGTTGTTGTTCCTAGGGCACAGAGATCCAGGCAGCTATGAAAATTAGGCATCAATTTTCAAACTGGGTCAAACCGCTTAAAGGCCTGATAGATTGTTGTGCGAGACCTTGCATATTTTGGTTCACATTGAAGGATGGGGCACTGACCCATGCCCCCCCCCCTGTATACACTGGCTTGAGTTAATAAATTTCTTAGAAAACTTTCTTTGAAATTAGAATTGATCAAGAAATTGAGAAACGTTTAAACAAATAAAATTTGATGGATTGAATAGGATTCATAGGAAGGAAATGTNTCTGACTAGTTCTTATGGTGATATTCCTTCTAACTATAGTAGGGGGAGTTTCAAAAGTTAGTCAAATGTGGACATGTTCAATATTGACCTAAAAATCTCGATCTATATCCAAGAAAATGGACAGAATCTACTAAACAAATATCTAGAGGATGGATTGAATATTGAATTATTTATTTAGTTCTGAATTTCCCTTGTCAATAAATTCTTCGGTTGCCTCAGCGTCGCCAATTAGAATATCTCGTTCAGACTTAAATTAATCAATCAATCAATCAAATTTGATACTAGAATTCTTGTCGTCTTATTTTTATTTTAAAATTGCAACGAAGTATTTTGCAATTAGCAACCAAACTATAATTTTTTAAAAAGTTCCTTTCACATGTGTGTGATGCAGCGTAAGGAGGGGGGGGNGGTAGGTGACCCGCACCTATTTTACCTCCGACCTGCAGATGATGTCACAGAATGGGATTTTCAGCATGCTGTTTAACCCTCACTCGTTTTGCCTTTGTTTAGACAATTATTATAAGTGTTAAAATTGTTTTTGTTTTGTTTTTTTAGGCAACGACAGGCATATGACAGATGCCATGACGTCTTTAAATTTAAATTAATGCTGCATTCGCCTATTATTAGCATATACAAATTGAGAAATTTTGCCGGAAGGCAAAACGGGTGAGGGTCGGACGGCATAGGGGTATGCGAATGCCGCAAATCCCGTTTTATGACGTCATCTGCGTGTCGGAGGTCAAACTGGTGCGGCCCCCCCCCCTCCCTCTTGCGTAACAGTACGTAACTGGACAGCATTTTTAAAAGAAAAACTTTTTGAAAAAAAATAACACCTTTTCTCTGTTTTAGTACTTCTTAATATTTTTAAGTGTTAATGAAAGTTTTATTGATGATATATTCCTTTGCTCTTTGATCATCTATAAATTCAAAAATTTGAATAAGATCATCTCCGTACTCGTAGCACTTCCAGAAAACCTAGATATACATTATTATGGATTATTCAGAGACTGTAAACTTAATGTCAGGGACCCTCCATCTTTTTTTCCATCATTTTTATTTATTGAAACGGTTTTTTTCATTTGCGGTTTTTCGGGAAAAATGAATTTTGCAGTTTTTGCTTGTAATTGGAACAATGGAGAATTGATCAGAATTAAGCTCTTTCTGTACAGAAAATGATCAGATTAGGGTTTTTGATCAGTTTAGGGTTTTTGATCAGTTTAGGGTTTTTGATCAGATTAGGGTTTTTGATCAGATTAAAGTTTTTGATCAGATTAGGGGGTTCAAGAGTACCGATGTAAATCAGGCATTGCAATCTTTGCATAGAGGATCATTCTAAATTACGCTTTTACTTCCATTTAAATATATATATAAAATCTTGTAAATGTATAGTACCAGTCAGGAAAACATGTAATCATATGATGAGCCGGTATTTTATACTTATTTGATGAGCTCCTTTATTTTTCTTTAGGATGGAAAATAAAACTATGCACTGGCCAAATTCTGTATCAATATTTTTATCTAAAAACTCATTCAAACTCTGCTTTGGATTTTGGTTGTGTTCTTACCTCACTGTTAACTTGTGTTTCCTTGACTTTAGGAATAAGGTTCAGATGTCTCTCAACAACCTTTAAGAAGTCCATTATTACATATAAAATGGTTTGCTGGAATCTAAATTTACTTATTCTCACTAGAAGGAGATGAAATATTTGGTGGACCGTCCCGTTTTGCTGTGTCTGAAGTCTGTACGTGTACTGTACTGCTAGTTCTAGCGGCATATAAGTCAGTCCGGTACTTTAAATGAACCGGAGTTTTCAGAAAATGAGAAAAATATAAATATTTATCTGTTAACAGATCAGAGAAACTGAGATAA